AGATGTCATAACACCCTTCTTCAAGGAGTTTGATATAGGTATACTCCAGGCAGACAGAAATACAGATAAACAGAGACAGGCAGACAGACAGAGACAGATAGATAGACAGGCAGACAGACAGTTAGATAGACAGAGAGTCAAGACATGTTTGTGTGTAACAGTGATAACAAATACAGCGAGGGTTAGTTGGAGCAGTGGGCATTTATCAAATGTCACTGGGCTGTCAGCAGTATAAGGATGCCTTTCATAACACCATGCTTCAAGGTATATGCCAGGGTATCTAAAACATTGCTGGAACCTATAAATACTTTGTATATATTTCTAGACAATAGAAAATAACCCAAGCAGGTGTAAATGTTCACCTGTCAATGTGATTGTGACTACATATTTGAGTACAATTTCGGTACCTAATATTAGTGTCAGAACAAAGATTGGCTATGAAATCACAAGAACTATTATCAGTTGTAATTATCAGAACATACAAAAAATATATAAATTAAAATAAAAACGAGACAAAACGGTATATCGGCAACACTTCTACAAGTGGCAGGAGTCTCCCTGCCTTGGTGGAAGACAGTTGACTTGTTGAAAAAAAAAAAAAAAGTTTGATATCATCATGTGTTCACCAGGTTTGTTAAGAAAATATCGAACACTCCATTTTGGATACGGGGCGGATAATAAGAACTTTCAAACCAGAGAATTATATCCAGTGGTGACACTTTTCAAATCACTAGTGCTCTCTCTGTCTTAGAGTGCTGTTCAGTGTTGATGGCTCCATGCAAAGCAGGTGAGATGTCAAAGCTGGAACAGATACATAGATCATTTACTTCCACAGAGTCAGTACAGCCATTGAAGTACTAAATATGTACTCTTTGAAGCAAAGGAGAAATACATGATAATGTACATGGAAAATACTAAAGGCCCTAGTCTCTAAACCTACAGTAACAACATCCTGGAATGAGAGATATGAGGAAATGTAAAACAAACCCATAAACACTATACCATCATCCAGGAGTTTAGTAAAACAAACCCAGTGAACACTATACTTTCATCCGGGAGCCAAGGCTATTCACCATTCTACCAGATGATATCAGAAATACTGCCAGAACAAGTGTAGAAGTCTTCAAAATAAAACTCAACCATGCTGTACTGGATATGTGATCCAGCAGGCTACTAACAGGAAGAACCTAGTTGACCAGTCAAGCACCAGAAAAGCCTGGCCCCAGGTTGGGCTTTGGGAGTAGGAATACTCTTGAAACTGGTCACAGGTAATGTATAAGTGTGGTAGAGAGGGAAAGTGGTGGAAGGGATGGGAAGGAAGTTATAGCAGCTGAGTGGTAGTGCATGTTGTGGTATGTAGGTGGAGGTGGTTAAAAGCTGGTTATGTAATGGTGGTAATTTTAGTGATGGTGGTGACATATAATGATGGTGGCTGGAGGTAGTGGTGTTTTTTTTTTTTTTTTTCTAAACAAAATTAGATACATCAGCAGTGTGTTGCTACCCTATTCTGTATGACAATTACACAGTGAGAACTGGTGGTAGCAGTTAGTGATAGTGGGTACTGGCAGAGAGTGGTAGCAAGGAAAGTGATGATATGAATGATGGTAGTAGTGGGTGGTGGTTATTGTTGTTTACATAGCTTTATAATGTGCCTGATACCCGTACTGTAGGAAGGACTTGAAATATTACAGATGCACATACATCTAAAGCCTGGATGTTAACTTGACTTTGTACACTTGCTGTCTGGTTATTCTCTCTTAATAAGCTATTGTGAAGGCTATTTTATGGTTTTAGAGCTTTAACCTCATGTCATTGCTAGAAGTAAGTTTTGTACCTGTAGGGTGAGAAGTACAAGCAAGTTTCTTTACACCTTTAACCCCCTGTTTACTAAGTGGTGTATATACACCATAGGAGTTAGCCAACTGTTGTGGGTGGCACCATGGTGGAGGAGTATACCTTATTTAATGCTGTGCTTTAACACAAGCTGAGGTGGGATAAAAAATCTTAGCCTGTACGTCCAGCTGTGTAAAAAAACTCATTCTTGGTGTGCCAGGGTGTCTATGTACTGAAAAAATCTAAAAACAGTACATTGGGCTGTTTTCTATTGTTAATTTAATTTCCTTCTCTATTTCCTTTTTAAAAGCCACATTGTTTAATCATAATTACCATACACAGCGGTGTTCACTCGTTAGAAGAATGGTAAGCATTGCTTACCCTATAAAAAGTCTTTATCTTCAGAATTAAAATATCTCTTTGAGTTAAATATTATTCAGGTGTACATAGCATTCTGCATTTTTATTTATATTTTTGCTAATTTAAACTTGGTGTAAAAGACTTAAAACTTTTGAAACTTGTCATGGGATTGTTTGATACGTGAAAATCTATATTAGGGATACTAAGCATTGGATCTGCAGTATCAATATCTGCCAGCTTGCTTGGTGGCTGAAAGGATTGATATACCACTACCTTACAAGATAACAACTGCTGTATTATATTTACACAGCAATTGTTTCAGAACATGCAGCTGACCATACAGTGCTCTTTTTCATTTAAATAATCAGTGTAACATTGATTTGTTAAATCATTGTCATTACTTTTAATCCCACATTATAAATTGTATAGTATTCTTTAATATAGTTACCCCACATATCAATTTTTAAATTATATTAATAATCAGAGTAGTACTGTGTATATTACAGAATATAAAATAAATCATATCCTTGGACACATTATGTGCCTCTGTTATCTTTTGACTACTGCCCACAGGATGGGTATGAGGTGACTACCACCCACAGCATGGGTATGGGGTGACTACCACCCACAGGATGGGTGTCGGGTGACTACTACCCTCAGAATGGGTGTGGAGTGTATAATAAGGCAATCAACTAATTCCAAAATTGCATGTTTGTACGTGTTCAGTATATTGTAGTATTTTCAAGAAATTATTACATGCATGTCCTTACATTTAAGCTTATATAACTGTTTAGAGTTTCTTAATCTTAGCTGTAAAAAAATTAGAATTTATTTTACCCTCAATGTCTCTAACTTCATGCTTGTATTTTTTTGTATTTATATTGGTCTTGATGACAGTTGACCATTTCCAGATTGGAAAAAACTCATATTGATGTATAACCATTACATTCTGTGGTCAGGTTCCATGGACCATTTATAAAAATAGACACTTGTTGGTAGACCTCCTAATAATCCACAAATGAACTTTATCATCTCTTATAACTTTATAAATCATCTGCTTACCTTGTGTATCAGCACAGCTCACCAACTGCACAGATTCAGACACCAGTCGGCTTCTGATTCAGTTCTGTACAGACTACTTAACAATCTGAAGAACAATGCTGTACCCAAATATATGGCCATTATACTTGTCAGAGATAATGATAGACATACTTATTGTCATGCCATGTTAAAGAGTAAAATTGTGAGTAGCTGAAACAACAGAGGATTAAAATAGGAAAGTGAACTCTCTTAACAAATATCTGAATGTTGTTGAAATGGTTATTCTTATTTACACTTGAATAAACTCTTCCACTCTTTGCTAGTTATTTTGGATCTGAAGTGCTGTTGGGGGCTTGAGCATAAAAAATACTGTATATGTGTAGGTAACGGTCATCCTAGGAAAAGATAAAGGGACGGGGTAAAAGAGGTTTTGTGTGCAAGGGGCTTGGACATGCAGCATGTGTGTGTGAATGTGTTAGATAAGAGTGAATGGAAAGAAATGGTTTTTGGGACCTGACGAGCTGTTGAAGTGTGAGCAGGGTAATATTTTGGGAAGAGATTCAGGAAAACTGATTACAGGATTTGAGTCCTGGAGGTGATATGTACAATGCTTGCACTTTAAAGGAGAAGATTTGGGATATTGGTTGTTTGGAGTGACATCTAAACTGTCACATCATTCACACATAATCACAGTATGCAAAGACAGTGATTATGTGTGACTGATGGTGAAAGTGTTGGATGATGATGAAAGTGTTTCTTTTCTTGGGTCACCCTGCCTTGGTGGGAGACAGCCAGTGCGTTGAAAAACAAGATGTAGGTATTCTCAGAGAAACTGGTTAGACAGTTTGAAAAGTCAGGTTGTAATGATTCAGGTCAGTCATTCATGTGTTGTCTATGTGAAATTAAGACAGCTATAGTATGAGAAATGATGAATGTATTTTTTTAGGGTCACCCTGATTTGTAGGTGTGACCCTTTGTGAGATTTCTGTTTGTATTGAGTAAATATAACATAACACACTAGTTGGCAATGAGAGTTGGTTGGATGTGATCTGAGGCAACAATGGCACCTAATATGTACTGTATGAGCACTGATAACATACCTACAGAAAAATATTTTTCATTACCATACATCACTGGAGGCAATTCAACATGGTGCAATGACTGTTATTCCAGAAATAAATCAGCTCAATTACAAAAATATACACTTTGAGCCACCAGACTGACAACTCTTCAAATAAGGCATGACAGGGCTAAACTTATACAGCATTGAGAATTCTAAAGAAGTTGGATAGTGTAAACTTGGACCACTGCATCAAGAAGTCTTACATGACACGTGCAAGGGACTAAACTTCAAACTCACCTAATGTCAGTATATGATAGACTAGGAATTTTTTCTTCTAGTTAATGATAAACCTGTGGAACACTATCCTCCTAAACATGTCCTCACCTGCTAGGTCTATCATCATTCAACTCCTGCAGATTAATTTGCACTGCCCTTACTGTCGTTATTACAATAACACTAAATTTGTAGGGATAATACAATGCCTGGGGAATAAAAGGTAGTCAGATTTCATCTGAGGAATGGAAGGTTAACTTCAATGCCTTGGATCAAGAGCCACTCATTGACATTAAGGTAGCTTTTTCTTTCAGATTCTTAGGTCTTTATATCTCTTCAGCCCCCTCACACATACTGGTCTCCTGTATTCTATTTTTTTCTAAATGCTGTTTCATCTAAGCATCCTCATTACATGTTTAATTGCCAACAGCGTGGTGTGCGGCTTCTTGGGGGCATTCTATGTATGGGTGCACCGTCAGTATGTCATCTTCATGCGGAAGAACAAGAAGATGAAGGCCTTCCTACAGAAGAGGTACTCATGTTAAAATATTTTTTTGGTAAATTTTAATGTTAATATACAGTAATGTGATTCCATTTTACAAACATAGTCGTCCCTGCTTAAATACGTAGACTGAAGTTATATTTTAGTTGAATATTTGTCTCTAGATATCCAACTATCAATTTTTAATACATTTTTCCTTCATTTTGGAAATTATTATCTGAATTAAACTGAAATCTCTCAGAGATGTAATTTTTTGGTATTTTTATATGCAGTAAGAATATGAATGTAAGTCAAGTGGTGGAAAGATATCTATTGCAACATCTGACTTTTTATTTGTTATGCTATTTCACTTACAAGAATCAAATACAGGAAATATGCAAAACATTGACTATTATGTATACAGTATGGCCTCACTTGTATGGCAAGTTAGGCTCCAGGCTACTGCCGTAAAGTGGAAATTGCTGTAAAGCAGAACACGATTTTTTTTCCACTTGTATATGCATATAAATGCCAGATAATAAGTTTACACTAACATATATTAATTTAACAGTAGAACTAGGCATTAAAAAACAAGAAAAAGTAAAATACATACACAGTACATTCATTACTTACTTTAAAATATTTGTAGTCTTAATGTAGGGTGAAAGATGAGTAGTACACAAATAACCCGCACATAGGAGAGAGGAGGTTATGACAATATTTCGGTCCGACTTGAACCATTTACAAAGTCACAAACATTATCATAAGCTCCTCTCTCTTATGTGCTGGTTATTTGTGTATTGTTCCAGTCACAGTATTGTGTCTTGTTATTTATGAGAGATGAGTAGTAGTATTTATTGTAGGAAGTCATGTGTGGTAGGTATGGTAGCCGACCTAGCTACCATCTTTCAACTTCTTTCAACACACCGGCCGTATCCCACCGAGGCAGGGTGGCCCAAAAGGAAAAACAAAGCTTCTCCTTTTAAATTTAGTAATATATACAGGAGAAGGGATTACTAGACCCTTGCTCCTGGCATTTTAGTCGCCTCTTACAACACGCATGGCTTACGGAGGAAGAATTCTGTTCCACTTCCCCATGGAGGCTTAGCTACCATATCTACATGTAATGTACAATATTTAAAGCTCCCCAGAGTGATAAAATACACATACAGTACACTCATTACTTTCCTTAAAATATGTGTAGTCTTAATGTAGGGTGGGAAGTGAGTACAGCCTCACCTCACTTAATGACAAGAGTTTTGTTCTTAAGACAACGTTGTTAAACGAATTTGTAGCTAAGTGAGGAGCATACTATAATGGTAGTGGGTTTGTGTCAACCATCTTTGATATTGTTTTAATGTCACCTTTGCACCATTTATAACATTTCTGGTATATTTTTAAATGTTTATACAGTAGTGTACTGTATATTGTAATAAACAGAATAGAGGAAATCAGCTCTAATATAGATTATTTAGGTATAAATACTGGTCAGAGAGCCCATCGCAAGTCCGAGGCATCTGTAAACGAGTACATCGCTAAGTGAGGAGAGGCTGCATTTATTATACAAAGTCAGGTGTAGTAACTCCTATACACCAGTTACCATACCTACATGAAATATACAGCTTAAATTTAAAGTGCCCCAGAGAAATTATTATTATTATTATTATTTTTATTATTAACACATCAGCCAATTCCCACCAAGGCAGGGTGGCCTGAAAAAGAAAAACTTTCATCATCATTCACTCCATCACTGTCTTGCCAGAGGGGTACTTTACACTACAGTTATAAAACTGCAACATTAACACCCCTCCTTCAGAGTGTAGACACTGTACTTCCTATCTCCAGGACTCAAGTCTGGCCTGCTGGTTTCCCTGAATCCCTTCATAAATGTTACTTTGCTCACACTCCAACAGCACGTCAAGCATTAAAAACCATTTGTCTCCATTCACTCCTATCAAATATGCTCATGCACGCTTGCTGGAAGTCCAAGCCCTCGCACAAAAAAACCTCCTTTACCCCCTCCCCCCAAACCCCTTTCCCTAGGCGGGACCCCTACCCCGCCTTCCCCCCACTACAGATTTATACACTCTCAAAGTCATTCTCTTTTTTTCCCATTCTCTCTTCTTTGTCCAAACCACCTCAACAACCCCTTAGCCCTCTGGATAATAGTTTTGGTAATCCCACACCTTCTCCTAATTTCTGAACTACGAATTCTCTGCATTATATTCACACCACACATTGCCCTCAGACACAACATCTCCACTGCCTCCAGCCTTCTCCTCGTTGCAACATTCATCACCCATGCTTCACACCCATACAAGAGTGTGGGTACAACTATACTCTCATACATTCCCCTTTTTGCTTCCACGGACAAAGTTCTTTGTCTCCACAGACTCGTGAGTGCACTACTCACCCTTTTCCCCTCATCAATTCTGTGATTCACCTCATCCTTTATAGACCCATCTATTGACACATCCACTCCTAAATATTCACCTCCTCCATACTCTCTCCCTCCAATCTGATATCCAGTCTTTCGTCACCTAATCTTTTTGTTATCCTCATAACCTTACTCTTTCCTATATTCACTTTTAATTTTCTTCTTTTACATACCCTACCAAATTCATCCACCAACCTCTGCAACTTCTCTTCAGAATCTCCCACAAGCACCGTGTCATCAGCAAAGAGCAACTGTGACAACTCCCACTTTGTGTTTGATTCTTTATCTTTTAAAGTCAACACCTCTTGCCAAGACCCTAGCATTCACTTCTCTTACAACCCCATCTATAAATATATTGAACAGCCACAGTGACATCACATATCCTTGTCTAAGGCCTACTTTTACTGGGAAATAATCTCCCTCCTACATACTCTAACCTGAGCCTCACTATCCTCTTAAAAACTCTTCACTGCTTTCAGTAACCTACCTCCTATACCATACACCTGCAACATCTGCCACATTGCCCCCCCTATCCACCCTGTCATATGCCTTTTCTAAATCCATAAATGCCACAAAAACCTCTTTACCCTTATCTAGATACTGTTCACCTATATGTTTCACTGTAACCACTTGGTCTACACACCCCCTACCTTTCCTAAAGCCTCCTTGTTCATCTGCTATCCTACTCTCTGTCTTACTCTTAAGTCTTTCAATAATAACTCTACCATACACTTTACCAGATGTACTCAACAGACTTATTCCTCTATAAATTTTGCACTCATTTATCCCCTTTGCCTTTATACAAAGGAACTATGCATGCTCTCTGCCAATCCCTAGGTACCTTACCCTCTTCCATACATTTATTAAATAATAGCACCAACCACTCCAAAACTATATACCCTCCTGCTTTTAACATTTCTATCTTTATCCCATCAATCCCAGCTGCCTTACCCCCTTGCATTCTACCCTCAGCCTCACGAACCTCCCCCACACTCACAACTGGCTCTTCCTCACTCCTACAAGATGTTATTCCTCCTTGCCATATACACGAAATCACAGCCTCCCTATCCTCATCAACATTTAACAATTCCTCAAAATATTCCCTCCATCTTCCCGATACCTCTAACTCTTCATTTAACAACTCTCCTTTCCTATTTTTAACTCTCAAATCCATTTGTTCCCTAGGCTTCCTGAACTTATTAATCTCACTCCAAAACTTTTTCTTATTTTCAACAAAATTTGTTGATAACATCTCACCCACTCTCTCATTTGCTCTCTTTTTACATTGCTTCACCACTCTCTTAACCTCTCTTTTTCTTTCCATATACTCTTCCCTCCTTGTATCACTTCTACTTTGTAAAAACCTCTCATATGCTAACTTTTTCTCCCTTACTAGTCTCTCTACATCATTATTCCACCAATCGCTCCTCTTCCCTCCCGCACCCACTTTCCTGTAACCACAAACTTCTGCTGAACATTCTAACACTACATTCTTAAACCTACCCCATACATCTTTTACCCCATTGCCTATACTCTCACTAGCTCATCTATCCTCCAATAGTTGTTTATATCTTACCCTAACTGCCTCCTCTTTTAGTTTATACACCTTCACCTCTCTTACTTGCTGCTTCTGTTTTCCTTGTATCCCATCTACCTTTTACTCTCACTGTAGCTACAACTAGAAAGTGATCTGATATATCTGTGGCCCCTCTATAAACATGTACATCCTGAAGTCTCCTCAACAGTCTTTTATCTACCACTATATAGTCCAACAAACTACTGTCATTACTCCCTACATCATATCTTGTATACTTATTTATCTTCTTTTTCTTAAAATACGTATTACTTATAACTAAACACCTTTCTATGCAAAGTTCAATCAAAGGGCTCCCATTATCATTTACATCTGGCACCCCAAACTTACCTACCACACCCTCTCTAAATGTTCTCCTACTTTAGCATTTAGGTCCCCTACCACAATTACTCTCTCACTTGGTTCAAAGGTTCCTATACATTCACTTAACGTCTCCCAAAATCTCTCTCTCTCCTCTACACTCCTCTCTTCTCCAGGTGCAAACACGCTTATTATGACCCACTTTTCACATCCGACCCTTATTTTAATCCACATAATCCTTGAATAACTGGTCCTTCAACATTATTACTACCCCTTCCTTAGCTCTGACTCTCTCAGCTACTCCTAACTTAATAATAATAATATTTTTCCCCACTGAAACTCACCTACCCCCTTCAGTTTTGTTTCGCTTAGGGCCAGGACATGCAACTTCTTTTCATTCATAACATCAGCAATCATCTCTTTCTTATCATCCGCACTGCTTCCACGCACATTCAAGCATCCCAGTTGTATAAAGTTTTTTTTTTTTTTGACAAACTGGCCGTATCCCACCGAGGCAGGGTGGCCCAAAAAGAAAAACAAAAGTTTCTCTTTTTAAATTTAGTAATTTATACAGGAGAAGGGGTTACTAGCCTCTTGCTCCCGGCATTTTAGTCACCTCTTACGACACGCATGGCTTACGGAGGAAAGATTCTTTTCCACTTTCCCATGGACAATAGAGAGAGAAAAAAAAACAAGAACAAAAGCTATTAAGAAAAAGAA